GATCCCAGGGCGCAGCCAATCTGCCCCCCCAGACCTCCTCGAGTAATGAAAAAAATCACGACGGGAGGTTTTTCCTACTTTTCGGCCTCTGGGGGCCCTCACCGGGCCTCGGGAGCGTCAAAAAGCGACTCAGGATGCCAAGCCGGTCATGGGGAACGGGTCGGGACCTCTGGGGGTCGACGTAATGAAAAAATCATTACGTCGGGGGTCTGGGCCCCCCCTCCATGTCTCGGGAGGGGAACAAGCACACAGGCACACTTCATCGTCGACCTCCCCCCAAAGTGTGGGAAAATATGGGAAGTGTGGGGGGGGGGAAGACGACAATCCCCCCAAATATGGGAAAATAGGGGGAACCATTTTATTTGTGTGTATTTATTTGGTCCCCCCCCCCACGCCCCCCCCCCCCCCCCCTCCATACCCAGACATCCAACGTCTCGATTTTTTCGAGACGCGGGCCCCGGACCTCCCGACCACCTCCCTGGGGCCGGTTTCTCATCCCGAGCCGTTTTTGTTGACGGCCCCGAGGCCAAGGCGAGGAGGGCCCCGAGGGGCCGAAAACTATGACAAACCTCCGTCTCGATTTTTTCGAGACGCCCGATGTCTCGGTCCCCCCCTCTCCAGATCGCGCCGCCCCGTCCCGCACCGCCGCGTTCTGCCCCGCCGCTCCGGCCTCGCGCCGAGCGGTGGCCACCGCGCGGCCTGCTGTTGCCGCTGCCCGGCGTGCCGTGCCTCGGGAGCGCGGCCGCCGCCACGGCGCCGTGCCGTGCGCTGCCTTTTCGACGAGTCCATCACGGGAGCTACCTTCTTGGAGCTCCCGCTATCTTCTTCCCTCGCCCTCCGCCTTCCGCACTTTCCGCGCGGCAGGTTCCACGCCGCGGCGGCCACCGCCGCGGCCGCCATTGCGGCTTCCGCCGAGGCCGCAGCGGCGGTTTCGGCGGCGGCGGCGGCCGCCGCGGCGTGGAACCTGCCGCGCGGAAGGTGCGGAAGGTGGAGGGCGAGGGTTGGAGCTCCCGTTCTTGACCAGGTTTTCCCGATCCACGTGCGCACGATCCAGCCCATGGAGTGCGGTTTTCCAAGGGAAATTGCGTCTCCCATAATTCGGAGCTATGGGAAACGCAATTCCGGCCCGTGGAGTGCGGTTTCTCAAAGGGGGATTCCGTTTCTCGTAAATCGGCATTCGAATTCCGGGAAACGCAGTTTCCCAGAATTCGAATTCCGAATTATGGGAAACGCAATTCCAGCCCATCGTGTGCGGTTTTTCAAACGAAATTGCGTTTCCTATAATTCGAACTATGGGAACGGCATTTCTGGCCCATCGTCTGCGGTTCTTCAAAGGAAACTGCGTTTCCCATAATTCGGAATTCGACTTTTGGGCAACCGCGTTTCCCGAAATTCGGAATTCGAAGTTTGGGAAACGCAATTCCAGCCCATTGAGTGAGGTTTTTTCAAAGGAAATTGCGTTCCCCTTAATTCAGATTCAGAATTTCGGGAAACGCAGTTTCCCAGAATTCGAATTCCGAATATGGGAAACACAATTCTGGCCCATTGAGTGGGTTTTTCAAAGGAGATTGCGTTTCCCATAATTCGGAATTGTGGGAAACGCAATTCCGGCCCATTGCCTGCGGTTTTTCAAGGGAAAGCGTGTTTCCCATAATTCGGAATTCGAATTCTGGGAAGCCGCGTGTCGCGAAATCCGGAATTCGAATTTTGGGAAACGCAATTCCAGCCCAGTGGACCGGTTTTTGCATTTGTTTTTCATAATTTCAAATTCCGAATTATGGGAAACGGCATTGCTGCCCAGTGGATACAGTTTCTTTAGGAAAAGTGCGTTTCACATAATTCGGATTTATGGGAAAAGGCAATTCCGGCCTATTCAGTGCGGTTTTCAAAAGAAATTAATTGCGTTTCCCATAATTCGGAATTCGAATTTTGGGAAACAGCGCTTCCCGAAATTCGGAATTCGAATTGGGAAAAGCACGTCCAGGCGGTTTTTGAAAGGAAATTGCGTTTCCCACAACTCGAATTCCAAATTTCGGGAAGCGCGGTTTTCCTGAATTCGAATTCCGAATTATGGGAAACGCAATTCCAGCGTATTTGGTATATTTTAGGAAAATGCGTTTCCCATAATTCGGAATTATGGGAAACGCAATTCTGGCCCATTGACTGCGGTTTTTCAGGGGAAATTGCGTTTCCCATAATTCGGAATTCGAGTTCTGGGAAACCGCGTGTCCCGAAATTCGGGGTTCGATTCATGGGAAACGCAATTCCGGCCCATGAGGTTTTTCGAAGGAAATTGCGTTTCCCATAATTCGAATTTCGAAATTCGGGAGTCGCAATTTCCCAGAATTCAAAGTCAGAATTATGGGGAACGTGATTCCAGCCCATTCGATGCGTTTTTTCAAGGGAAGTTGCGTGTCCCATAAGTCGGAATTATGGCAAACGCAATCCCGGCCCATTGCCTGCGGTTTTTCAAAGGGAAGTGGGTTTCCCATAATTCGGAATTCGAATTCTGGGAAGCCGCGTTTCCCGAAATCCGGAATTCGAATTTTGGGAAACGCAATTCCAGCCCAATGAGTGCTGTTTTTCAAGGCAAATTGCGCGTTCCCGCAAATCGGAAATATGGGAAACGCAGTTCTGGCCCAGTGAGTGCGTTTTTTAAAAGAAATTGCGGTTCCCACAATTCGGAATTTGAATTCTGGGAAGCCGCGTTTCCCGAAATTCGGGGCTCGACTTATGGGGAAGCGCAATTCCAGCCCAATGAGTGCTGTTTTTCAAGGCAAATTGCGCGTTCCCGCAAATCGGAAATATGGGAAACGCAGTTCTGGCCCAGTGAGTGCGTTTTTTAAAAGAAATTGCGGTTCCCACAATTCGGAATTTGAATTCTGGGAAGCCGCGTTTCCCGAAATTCGGGGCTCGACTTATGGGGAAGCGCAATTCCGGCCTATTGAGTGAGGTTTTTTCAATGGGAAATTGCGTTTCCCAGAATTCGAAGTCCGAATTTCGGGAAACGCAGTTTCCCAGAATTCGCGAATTCCGAATTATGGGGAACGTAATTCCAGCCCATTGAGTGAGTGCGGTTTTTCAAACGAAATTGCATTTCCCATGATTCGAATTATGGGACACGCAATTCCAGCCCATTGAGTGCGGTTTTTCAAGGAAAATCGCGTTTCTCATAATTCGAATTCTGGATTTCGGGAAAAGCAGTTTTGCAGGATTCGAATTCCGAGCTATGGGAAACGGAATTCCAGCCTAATGAGTTCGGTTTTTTGTTACGGGAAATTGCATTTCCCATGATTCGGAATTAGGGGAAACGCGATTCCAGCCCATCGAGTTCGGTTTTTCAAGGGAAATTGCGTTTCCCACATTTCGGAACTCGAATTCTGAGAAACCGCGTTTCCTTAAATTCGGAATTCGAATTCGAATTCTGGGATGCGCAATTCCAGCTTAATGAGTGCGTTTGTTCAAGGGAAACTGCGTTTCCCAGAATTCGGAATTCTGGGAAACGCAATTCCGGCAATTGCCTGCGGCTTTTTCAAGGGATAGTGTGTTTCCCATAATTCGGAATTCGACTTCTGGGAAGCCTGTTTCCCAAAATTCGGAGTCCGAATTCTGGGAAGCGCAAGTCCAGCGCATGGAGTGCGGTTTTTCAAAGGACATTGCGTTTCCCATAATTCGAATCCGAATTTCGGGAAACGCAGTTTCCCAGGATTCGAATTCCGAACTATGGGAAACGCAATTCCAGCCCGCAGGGTGCGGTTTTTCAAAGGAAATTGCGTTTCCCATAACTCGGAGCTATGGGAAACGCAATCCCGGCCCATAAAGGAATTTGCGTTTCCCATAATTCGAATTCCGAATTTCGGGAAACGCGTTTTCCCAGAATTCGATTTTTGAATTATAGGGAACGTAGTTTCCTTTGAACAGCCGCACTGAATGGGCCGGAACTGCGTTGCCATACTTTCGAATTTCGGGAAACGCGATTTCTCTGAATAGCCATATTCAATGAGCTGGAATTCGCGTTTCCCATAATTCGGAATTCGAATTCTGGGAAACCGCGTTTCCCGAAACTCGGAGTTCGAATTATCGGAAACGCAATTCCAGCCCATCGAGGGCGTTTTTTCAAAGAAAAGTGCGTTCTCATGATTTGAATTCTGGGAAACGCGTTTCCCGCGCAATGTGTCCTTGGGGCAGTCGTCCGGGGCTGCATGTCCCATCATTTGCCATTCTCAAATGGTTGAATTATGGGAAGCGCAAGCCTGGACGGCAGCCCGCGGCAGGGTCCGCATGCGCCCCCCCCCGCTCATTTCGGCACTCCCCTCGCGAGGATCGTGGCCCCGTAGGGAGCCCCACCGAAGGCTTCAGCGGCAGGGTCCGCATGAGTCCCCCCGCTCATTTCGGCACCGCCCCTCACGAGGGTCGTGGCCCCACAGGGAGCTCCACCCAAGGCCCCCGCGGCGGGGTCCCCATGCGCCCCCCCGCCCATGTCGGCACGCCCCTCACGAGGGTCGTGGCGTCGAAGGGAGCTCCACCGAGAGCGGTGCCCACAACGCGGCACTCACAAGTGCATATGGTACGGTCCTCCGCCAGGATGGTTTGCCACCCCTGTCAGCAGCAGGCGGCCCCTCCCGCCAAAGAGGTGGGCGCCTCGGGCGCCTGCGCCCCCTCGCGCCTGGACAGACCTCGGCCCGCTGAGCTGCTGCGATCTCTCACTCTCTCACTCTCTCACTCTCTCTCTCTCTCTCTCTCTCTCTCTCTTCCTGCCACCGTCGCCACCGCCCTTGTCAGCGATCTCCAGCCTGGCGGCCAACGGCGTCTTTTTCGCCATGACCGTCGGCCCGTCGCTTGGTCTGTTCCGCCGTGCCTCGCTTCGGTGGTGGCGGTGATGGCAGCGGTGAGCTTCGGCCCCCTTCAGGACGACGATGGCCATGGCGGGCCCAAAGCGCTCGGGCAGGTCAGGGTTGGCGACCGCCTGGTGGTGCGGCCAGGGGTCGGATACCATGCAAACGGCAAGGAGTACTACAGGAGTGGAGACGTGGGCGAGGTCACACAGGTCATCCAGGGTACAGGTGGCGAGCATAAGGCCATGATTCGCTGGCCGCGAACACAGCACCAGAGCGTCGCGGGCTTCTCCGTTCTGGGCAAGAGGTTCTTGCGTGTCAAAAGGGAGGGGAAGCAGGCCACCCTCCCGGAGATGCTGGTGGGGTCGACCACGTCTGGCTACGTGTTCGCTCTGTCGCTCGAGAGCGGCGAAGAAATCTGGGCAGTCCAGGCTTCTGACCAGATCGCTGGGGTGAAGGGCTCTGTCTCTGGCAAGGACGGCATAGTAGTGGCGGCTGCCAAGCGCTGCACCGACAGATACTGCTACAAGTACCGCAATCAAACCAATCCGCTTGTCCCGGGAAATCAAATGATCTGGGGCCTGCTTGCCGCAGATGGAAGCGTGGCGTGGTCCTTCAAACCGCAGTCGCCGGTCTGGAACTTCGTGCCCCAGTACGGCAACGGCACGGTCATGTTCAGCGACTTCGAGGGCACCGTCTACTGCCTGGACCTGCTGACGGGCGCCCTCCGGTGGCAGCGCGACGGGTCCATGGGCACGTACACCCAGGCGCACGCGCTGTACTTCCCGGAGGGCGACCTCGTCTTCGCCATGGGCGTGAGCGCGTACGACCACAAGCGCTGCAATCCGTTCCCAGCGCCGGGTGTCCTGCCCGCCTGCAGCACTTGGCCCGGCTCTCCCGGGCGGCGGGGAGCGGGGAGAAGCCAGGGGCGTCCACAGGAGGGATCTTCTCATGGTCATTGCATTGGGAATTGCTTCGTTTTGTTTTGGCGAATCTGCTCAAACTCGTTTGCCTACAACTGCTGGCAGACCTTCTTTTGTAAGTATCTTCTCATGCAGATTGCAATGGGAGTGAGTTGCTTCGTTGGGATTCGCGAATTGGCCCAACATCGTTTGCCTAGCACTGCGGGCGGAACTTTTCTGGCGCCTGGTCGACTTTCTGTGTTCGTGGGCGGATCTCATGGGCTGGGGCACGACGCCTCCCAGATTTCGTGGCCCCCCCTTCTCCCTTTCGGGGCGTTCTCTGGCTGCCCTCCCTCGTCCGCGCACACGCCTCGGGCCATGGTGTGCAAGCCACCTTCGTCCTGCCCCCCCCCCCCCCTTTGGACCCCCCTACAGGGACTCTGTTTTTGTTGGGGAGGTGTTGTTTTTGTTGGGGAGGTGCTTTCCTTTCCTCCAGAAGCCTTCCTGCCGCCCCCGACGGTTTTTTTTTTTGGGTGGGGGTGACTAGGGCTCGGAGCCTACCTAAACCCCTATGCAGGAGGGTTGTGGGGGGTGAAGATGGCAGAGCATCCGCTCTAACCCACTCGGGGCAGAAAGGATCAGGGGGGCATGATCGTGCGCGCAGCGCCCAGCGCCGAGCGCTGAGGCCGCTGCGCGTCCGCCCCTGCAGTTGGGACGGCCTCTTGCTGCAGCGGCTTTCGTTCGTCCGCTACACACTCACACGTGTGCATATACGTAACGCAGATAGCATGTACGCATGCATGCATGAACGTACGTATGTTTGTATATACGCACATGTGCAGATATGCATAACATGCGTACATGCGTGCATGCATGCATGTATCTATGTATGTACGGGCATATGTATGTATACATGCACTCATGGAATCCATCTATGTATACATATCGGTGTACGTAGGTATGTCCGATCACACATATATATACATCTACATTCATATATGTATGCGTACATGCCTGTATGCATGTATGCATGCATGCATGTCTGTATATATATATATATAAATATATATATATATATGTGTTTGTGTCGTATGTATGTATGTATGTATGGTGTGTGCGTATGTATATACAGGTGAATGTATGTGTACATATACGAAAGAGCGTGTTCTACCGCTGCTGGCGGAAAACCGGGGGGGGTCACTACCGGTTCGAACCCCTCCCCCCCCCCCCCCCCCTCCGGAAAAACCGGGGGGGGTCACTACCGGTTCGAACCCCTCCCCCCCCCCCCCCCCCCCCCCCCCTGCTCACCATGAAAAGGGGGGGGGTCACTACCGGTTCGAACCCCTCCCCCCCCCCCCCCCCCCCCCCCCCCTCCGATCCGGAAAACCGGGGGGGGGTCACTACCGGTTCGAACCCCCCCCCCCCCCTCGAAAACCGAGTGGGGGTGCGGACAGTGGTGGGGACGGTGTTGGTGGGGACAGTGGTGAGGGGATAGCGGGACAGTGGTGGGGACAGTGGGACAGTGGGACAGTGGTGGGGACGGTAGTGGTGGGGACAGTGGTGGGGACAATGGTGGGAACAGGGGGGGACAGTGGACAGTGGTGGGACGGTGGTGGTGGGGACAGTGGTGTGGGGACAGTGGGAATGAGGTGGAAACAGTGGGACAGTGGAGGGTACAATGGTGGTGGGGACAGTGGAAAGGCGGTGGCGAGGACGGCGGTGGGACAATGGGACAGAGGTACAGTGGGGACAGTGGTGGGGACAGTGGACAGTGGTGGGAACAGTGGGACAGCTCAGTGGGACAGCGGAGGAGTCAGTGGGACAGTGGGGACAGTGGGGATAGTCGGGCAGTGGTTGGGGCCGTGGAGACAGTGGGATGAGTGGAACCGTGGTGGGAACAGTTCTGGGGACAGCGGGGACAGTGCGACAGTGGTGGGGCCACTGGTGGGGACAGTAGGGGCGGTGGTGGAACCAGTGGGGACAGCGGTGGTGAGGACAGTGGTGCTGGGAACACCAGTGGGGGATGTGATGCGGACGGTGGTGGGGACCGGGAGTCGTTTGCTGGCGGTGAGTAGGGGGGGGGGGAGGGGGTTCGAACCGGTAGTGACCCTCCCGGTTTTCCGATCCGGAGGGGGGGGGGGGGGGGAGGGTTCGAACCGGTAGTGACCCCCCCGGTTTTGAGCGGGAGGGGGGGGGGGGGGGGGCGGGGGAGGGTGGGGGAGGGAGGGGGAGAGGGGGGGGGGAGGGGTTCCAGCAGGGGGGGGGGGGGATTTTCGGAGGGGGGGGGGGGGCGACCCCCGGGTTCCGGAGGAAAAGGTTGGCAATTTTCCACAGTAAAGCGGCGGTGGGTCACGCTCTCTCACATATACCACTGTATGTATGTATATAGACATAATTATATATACATACGGATGTATACATACATGTACATATATATACACATATACATATATATACTCATGTATGTATACATGCATGGTTGAATGTATGCACGTATGCATGCATGCACGTATACAGGGATACATGTGCGCATGCAGGTATGTGTACATGCGTGTATGTATGCATGTACGTATGTACGTATGCATGCACGTGTGTATGTATGCAGGCAATTACATGAGCCATGTATACACGCATGCACACACACACACTACAAACGTATACACATACATACCCGCACGCAAACATGTACACACATACACACCTATATACATATATTTGTATAGACGTATACATGTATATATGTATGTATCTTTATATGTATGTATGTATATATACATATATATAAATATATATCGAAGACGCCTACGGCGAGTCACCGCCGCCCACTGCCTTTTTGGAAACGCCTATGTGGCCGAACATTGTGGCCAGAGGCCTGCCAAGCTATCGGACCATGTGTTCCCCGAATCGGTTTGGAAAGCGTTCGGGGAACACGGTGGGGGAGGAGGAATGAGAGGAGAGGGGGGACGAAGGAGAAGGGAGGAGGAAGCCTCTTGGGAGCCTCTTGGGCTACTCTAGGGTTTTATTGGGCCATCTTTGCGGTCGTGGAGGCATCTTGGGACTGTCTTGGAAGCCATTTTTGGGGGGCTATGTTGGGGCTTCTTGGGGCCATCTTGATCATCTTGGACGCATATTGGAGCCCATCTTCGGCCACGTTGGCCGTCTTGGAGGCGTCTTGGGACCATCTTGGAGGCCATCTTGTCCGTCTTGGAGGGATCGTTCGTGGACTTTGAGGTCCTGTATGGTCTCTCCGTCGCTGTCGAGAAGAAACAAATGCAAAAAGCCTTCAAAACCATACGGAAAAGCAATGATTTTGGTCTCTTGGGCCCTCCTGGACGACCTCTTGGAGGCCTCTTGGGCCGTCTTGGGCGCCTCTTGGGGACCTCTTGGGCCGTCTTAGGCCGTCTTCGATGCATTTTGGGCCGTCTTGGAGGCATCTTGGGGCCATCTCAGCCGTCTTGGAGGCCACCTTGGCCGTCTTGAAGGCCTCTGGGGGCCTTTTGGGGCCGTCTTGGCGGCCTCTTGGGCCGTCATGGGGCCATCTTGGAGGCCTCGTGAGCGATCTTGGGGCGATCTTGAGGGCCTCTTGGGCCGTCTTGAGCCGTCGGAATGCCGAGACGAAACAAATGCCAAAATCTTGCAACAACTTCAGTACAATCAATGATTTTGGCCTCTTCGGGCCCTCCTGGCCTCTTAGAGGCCTCTTGGGTCGTCTTGGAGGCCTCTTGGGAACCTACGGGGCCGTCTTGGGCAATATTGAGGCCATCTCAGGCCGTCTTGGATGAATCTTGGACCGTCTTGGGGGCCTCTTGGGGTCATCTTAGCCGTCTTGGAGGCTATCGTGGTCGTCTTGGAGGCCTCTTGGGGCCCTCTTGGGGCCGTCTTGGCGGCCTCTGTGGCCGTCATGGGGCCCTCTTGGAGGCCTCGTGGGCGATCTTGGGGCGATCTTGGCGGCCTCTTGGGCCGTCTTGAGCCGTCGGAATGCCGAGAAGAGGCAAATGCCGAAATCCTTCAAAAACCGAAAGAAAATCAATGATTTTGGCCTCTTCGGGCACTCCTGGAGGAGCTCTTGGAGACCTCTTGAGCCGTCTTGGGCCGTCTTGGAGGCTTCTTGTGTAAACTTGGAGGTATTTTGGACCCTCTTGGGTCGTCTTGGAGGCCATCTTGGACCGTTTTTGGCGGACTTGGAGGCCATCTTGGACCATCTTGGAGGCCATCTTGGGCAGTCGTGGCCATCCTGGAGGCCATTTTGGACCGTCTTGGAGGATTTTTTGGGAATCGAGCTCCTTCAAGATCGTCCCGGGACTTTAAACGGAGAAGGTTAAAGGCGAGGTATAAATCGAGCATGTACCGCTGCCGTGCCTGGCTCAAGCCGGGCCCGGCCTGATATGTGACTGTGCCTCACCGAGGCGCACTACTTGCATCTGAGATCGGAAAACATCCTTTTCCATTGACGATGCCCATCCTACTCTTTACTCCAGATCCCATGCTTCGTCTCGCTCTCTTGCTCATGCGCTATGAGCCTAAGCCTGGGATATGGCAACGCCTAAGGCGTAATACATACCTAAGCTTACCAGCTTGTTTTCGACTTGGTAGCGGAGCTGGCTACACTCTCGTGTGGCTGGCTCTCGCTCTGATTCCTGTAATCCACGGCACAACTTGGTGGACTACTACTACGGTGGAATACCATGTTGCGCCGGCTCTGCGAGGAGCGGAGCCAGTCCGCGATCGAGCTAGCGGGGCAACCCGCGAACTCGAGACGCTCTCTCCTACTTCACTGCGCTACTTCACTCCCGACTTCCACCAGATGCCAATCGGCAACTCGATCGAGAACGTGGTCACCCTGCGGGGCTACCCGCAGCGGGGCCACCTGCATCCCGTGCCGGTCAGGCGCCTCACGGCTACTACGCCAGAGCCTGACAAACCACAGCCCAAACCAATCACCGAAGCCGAAATGCACATGCATTGGATTAAGATAACTATCTTCGGCATTCTGTGGGTA